TATATAGTTATAGTATNTAATATATATATATATATATATATATATATATATATATATTATTTATATTACTTTATTATATATATTATATATTATATTTACTATACATATTATATATATACTCGTATATATACATATATCTGTATATATATATATATATATTCTATAGTTATGAGTATATGTGCACTTATCATGTGTGCTTCTGTGCATTGTAAGTATCAGTAGGACTTGATTGATTGTTTTGCGAGATCTGGCTGGTCAGCATGCGATTGGCGGTAAGTTTGATGCAGAGCAATCGAGTCAGGAAAAAGTACTTCTCACATATACACTATATATACGTGTACATATGAAATATATTCAAACATGTACGTGTGTGCATGTATATTTACACTACACGCACGTGATATATATATATATATTCGTATATATATATATATATATATATATGTGTGCGTGTGTGTGTGTGTGTATTACACGAGTACATACGAAATACATTCAAACATATATATGTGTGCATGCATATTTACACTTTACACACTTGCACATGTAAATTGCACTCAAGCATGTATGAGCATTGCATATGCTCGTACATAGTCCCACCTCGACCCCCAAACTTTACATCCCTAAATCCTTGCAAAACCTTACAACCCTATCCAGATGCGCATGGCCGGTCAGCTCATGATGAATGCGCTCGCCGCCATCTCCAACGAAGAAGCAGTTCCCAAAGAAGACCACGAGAAGGACATGCACACACGCGTGTCTATGACCCATAAAGCCAATGCAGCAGGTGTGAGCGGTATCAATGGAGGCATGGGCGGGGGTCTCCATGCGGGTGATAGTACTGAACGGTCATCGTCTGGGGTACCGGCCCCGCGGAGATCGGCGACGGCCGATAGGATTGCGAGTAATGTTATGGGCGAATTGGTATGTGTGTATATGAGTATACATTTTTTATGTATGTATGTATAGAATGTGTGTATATGAGTATGTATGTAGAATGTGTGTAAATGAGTATGTATGTTGAATGTGTGTATATGAGTATGTACGTAGAATGTGTGTATATAGGTATATATGTATACATTGAGTGTGTGTATATGAGTATGTATCTAGAATTAGTGTATTTGGGTAGTACATACCCATATACACACATACTATGTGTACGCAAGTATACATGACGTGGGTCGTGTGTATGCTATGCGTATGTGAGCCACTCCATGTGTGTGTGTGTGTGTGTGTGTGTGTGTGTGTTCGGCCCCCAAGTGTGAGTCTTGTTAGTACAATTTAGTACTGAGGCGAGCAACTTCAATAGAGGCGGTCGTACAGGATGACTACTACTTCGATTGGTTTGCACAGAAAAACCTTAAAACCCTAGATATCAACGCATGCGCAAGCACCTGCATCCTGTATGTAACATCAACACTGCACAATCTACCGCATCGATCCAGGTCACAGGTAAATATACAAACTACAGGCGGGATGGACAAGTTCGTACTATATATATATATATATACACGTCAACATTCATATCATCAAGTAAAGAGGACGGTGTACCTCCGAACACACACACCCGTGTTCAGGCAGAAGAGACGCTATTATATGACCATTCATTCATATGTACTATATGTACACCCCCATCATTACCTATGAATAACCCTAAAGCCTAAAACCATTACGTGAATCGTCGCTCTGTAGGGCGGCCTGGGTATTATGCAACAGAGCGCCACCGGCGGTTGTCCCGTTATCAGGTCATCATCGGCCCCAACCAAGAAGAACCTGGACGCCCAAATGGAACTACGAGAACATCAGCAACAGACTCAGCAAAGTAAACGAGAGCTCTCGCCACCCACGTGCCCTATAAACAGAGTGGGACTGCCCAACAAGAAGAAGCGCAGGGATCCGGTATGGATGTGGTGTGTCATATATATATATATGCATATATATCTATATATATATCTATATCTATATCTATATCTATATCTATTTATATGTATATATATATATTTATATATATGTATATATATATACATTCATATATATGTATATATGTATATATAT